TATATATAAAGTGAATTCCAAATTATATATATTATATTATATAATACTGTCATTATAATTTCTATTTTACCATCCTCATATGACAGGACCAAACAAAAGGTGTCATGAACAACCTGAATCAGGAAATTTTAAGAAGTCCTGGAGCTTCTTAAAAAAGAGTTGGGGGAAGAAAACACAGAAATTCGGAAATGTTGCCAAATCTTATTTTGAAGGAAAACTGAACCAAGATAAAATTTGATGGAGACACCCAGCATGGAAATTTCAAATTAAATGGTTAGTTTGGGAAAATCTTAGTGGCGGAAAACAGGGTCATAGAATGCAAAGTATTAGACAATCTTATCTGTACTTACAATGTCCAGCTTCAGCTACCAGGTCAGTCAGAACAGTCCTAATCATTCACCTGGTTCATCACACTTCAGTGTTACTGTCAGAAGAACTTAATGGTGACAAACATTTTAAAAGGTGTCCTACAGCGGTATTATTATCATATTTATTTTCAGAATAAGATTATCTCGATGCAGCTTGAATCCCGTTTTCCAAGTAGTACGCAGACATGCACAGTGAAACTCTGATGATGCTACTTTATTCAGTGCGTGCAATTTAGCCCTTAAATTCATTTATACAGCTGTGGAAATTTCCAAGGGGGAAGATGCTAACAAAATAAATAGGTTTGTCTGAACATTACGGGAATAGCGTGTGGTCACAAATCTGTATTTGCTGATGACGGTGTAATGTCACTAACTTGGAAAAGTCATTCTGAAATTAACTCATGCAACAAAGAACAGAATTTGGATTTCATTTTTGTATTTAATGGCATAGCATCAGCTCTTTTTATAGAAATCCTTTCATTTATATTTAAACTGGCTATGCTCATAACACTTAACAGTGTTAAGGAGGACAATGTCCAGATGTTTGAATTTCCCCTTATTCTCTCTGAAGTGAGGATTTTTGACTGTGTGCTTCTTCTCCATCCAGAGTACCTCTTTTAACATCTGCTGCTTTTTCTCTTTGTGGTCATGCCTTTTCTTCCCCAGTTTCTATGTTTTTCACCCTGTTCTAGCCCATCTATTTGTGTGCACAAAGAAGACCTAAACTCCAGGGAGCTGGCAGTTTCTCTGCTTCCCATGGACAAAGATCCTGAGAAGTGAATGGGGTTGAACAGTCAGACAGATAGAAGAATTGATTGCACTTGCATGGCTTTTCTGTATGCAAGCACTATTAGGAGTTTCCACACATGAAGAAGGAGCTTTGGCAGCTGTCTCTGCTTGTCCTGTACTCTTCAAGTTGTCTTGAGTTTCCTGTGTATAACCTTCTTCAGCACAATGACCAGGAAAGGTGAAGAAGACAGACTTGACAGTGGGCTGGTGGCAGCTTCTGCAAGTTGAACACTGGGAACCTTTTGCTCACACTGCTGTTTCAGACTTATATTCTGGGTACATTTAAATATAATGCTTACTTTTGGAGATCTTGCATCCATTTCTATTTGTCAGAACTGAAAATTAACCTGAGAATGTTCAGGTCAACTAACATTAGCAGAGTCCCCGTGGAGAGAAGAATCAGCCTTATTGTCTCCCTGGATGACTCCTTGCTCAGTGCACGCTTTCTTCTCATACTAATCTCTGCCTTTTCTTCCATTCCTGCAGTGTTGTGGGCAGGGTGAAAGCCAGATTAGTTAAGTAGTCAAAACCAAAGTAAAGCTTGAGGGCTGAGTCTGCTTGGGAATTTTTTCAGGGACTATATGCTGCAGATGTGTGGGTAGGTAGACTGCAAAGCATAACGCTGTCAATAATGCTGCAGAAGCTTAGGTCTTCAGTGTTTCTCACGCTACCTTTATCCAGGGCCAGAGGGCTTCAGTAATTTCTTTTCTCCTACTTCCTCCTGAGGGATAGCTTTCCTTAAAGCAAATTAAGGGTGAGGGAGAGGTAAGGCCTGTTGGAAGAGAGCAGAGGGAACAGTCTGCTGAACTTCATGCCTGAAGATAGGGAATTCACACTCAGGTAGCCTGCACAAGAGAGAGAAACAGCATTTCCTATTTGAAAATAACAGAGATAGATGCAGTCAGAAGTCCGTAACAGTAATATCTATTTTTAAATTCTCCTCATCCCAGGAAAAGCCACCTCCCAATGAGAAGTCATAGACTCTTCACTCTTTTTGTGGTGACATTTTGCCTCTTGTAATTCTCCTCTTAATATGCTTTTCTAGCAGGCAAATAATAATTGTGAATTATAAACATGTAGCACATTTCTTACCCAAGAGCAAAGCTCTCAACCAGGATAGTGCCAACCAAAGCTGCAAGCAATTTCTCATGTAGGAAAATAGAATTTTCTATATTACTGCAATGGGAAAATGTTGTCATGTCTCAGTTGATGGCTTACATTGTTCTAGATATAATGATCTTCTTTGGTTATAATGGTGATAAACCCCTGTGCAGTCACATGTCAGGTTTTGACTGCACCTGTTTGCAAACTCAGGTAATTATGCTCCCTTGTCTAATTGCTTACTATATGGATGTTTTGCTCACATGTTTTTAAGCAATGTTATTTGATTGCAGATAACTAATGGTAGCGATCTCTGCTCATTATCATACTTTAACATTTGATTTGTCTGATTGCTGCAGGTGGAAACAATAGGTGATGCATACTGTGTTGCAGCAGGGCTGCATAAGAAAAGCCTTAGTCATGCTAAAGCCATTGCCCTGATGGCGCTGAAGATGATGGAGCTTTCAGAAGAGGTTCTCACACCAGATGGGAGCCCTATTAAGGTAATCTCTCTGCTCTCTTTTTCTCAGCTAGTCAGTGGTACAATTGGCCTGATTAATTCCACCATATTCTATTGGCAGAAATCTGTTTAGTGTTAGGAGAGTTTGGAATTCTATTAAGATATTACAGGCTATTTTATGGACATATACTTCACTGGTGCCCCTCAACAATCATTTAAACTATGCCTACTTTAGCAAGCAGAGCAGACCAACACAAGCAGATCTGTAGACCAAAACGGTTGGTGGCTGGGCACCTGGCATCCACACATCCATTTCAGGCTTTTTTTTTTTTTTTTTACTTTGAACTAGCTGTAGCCTAATCTAATGCATTGCATGCCTATTTGTGGCAGAAGGGTATTAGATACACTCCTGGACCCCTTCTTCCAATTCAGTTTAGTCTGAAAACAGTTCACGTGCTCCAGGGCTGCTCCATGCTATGATCTAAAAGCACATTACGTGAGGGCAGTTGAGAAATTGACTTCAAAAGTGTGCTCCTGATCTGAACTAAAACGCTAATGTAGATGCACTCAGGGCTCTGTTGTTCTGGGGGGCCACATATTTCTTTTCTAAATAGTTGCTAACAGAAGAGCGTGTGGACTGCCTGCTCCTTCTCACTCATAATGCGCTTCCTTCTCACTCAGCTCCAGTTCCTTCCCCTAGACTGGTACCAAAGAGTAACAGGAGGTGGAAAAACACATGTCTTTTTGTACCATTTTAACGTTCCACTCTGTTGTGCTTCTTTCGATGCAGTATTGACCTTATAGCTGTTAGCATTTGGAATAGGTTGTGTTTAGGTAGAAGATGAAGATTCTGGGGGGGAGAAAATCCATGATGACACACACATGCCTTTCTTTTCAAGGGCTCAGATTACACATTGTTTTCATTATATGTATTTACTCTACTGTGTATCCAGTTAAATTGTTTTTCCCATAACACAGACTTTTTGTTTTCAAAGAAAATGACGGAATTATGTAGAACAGCATTCAACATTGTCTAAAGCACATAATAAAAGCCATATGTAGCTAGATGAGAAGGCCAGACAGACTTCCCATGGGATGATTTATACCATGATTGAATTGTGCTTTTTAGACTGTAATTCTTCTTCTCTGTTAGAAAATGAGGCTTCTGTCCATGAAAACCCTTCTTTCTTCTGGCAAAAAATCAAGGACTAGTTTTGAGGGTTTAAAACGTAACATAAAAGAGCTAAACTTTGAAAAATTTAAATTCATAGATGCTGCTGTGATGCTCCTTGAGAAAAATGAAATTATATTCCTCTGAGTTCTCACACTTCTATATCTATTAACCAGAGCATAACTTGAGCTACATTCATTGAAGTCTTTGTGTATGGTGAATCAAGAGAGATTTTATCCAGATGAGTGTCTCTGTCCAGAAAGCAGAATGTGGACACAAGGCAACTAAGCTAGAATAGTTCCATGAAGTATGGCAACACAATGTTCAGATAAAAATATTTTACGTTTTAGATGAAATATTTTCATTTGTAGGTATCTAAGGTTTTGATGAAAATTTGAAAAAATGAAAAAATAAAACATTTATATGATTGTTGAAAAATTTCAACATATTCAAAAATATAACTTTGTGAAGAAAATTTAGAATGTTGATCTTGATGAAAAATTTTGAAAAACTCATATGGACATTTCAGGAAGACAGAATAAATATAAAAAGACAAATGTTTACTGAAGATATCTGACGAGATAATATTTTCGGTTTTGATAAGTGACTGTTTTAAATAGGTATTAAATTAATCTTATTAAAATATATTTTCTAGATTGTTTGGCAATTTCTATATTTATCCAAAGAATATAGCCTATTAATAAATTCTAGCTACCTTGTCACACATTGGATAAGCTGCCTTCCAGATCACCTCCATCCTTGAGAATGGTTACTACAATCAGAGGGAAGCTTTAAAGGTGTATATTTTACTTTGACAGCCACAGTCAGTTGTGACTGTTTTCATTTTTACTGACATTATTTTTCAGAAAATGCCCTATGGTTGCAATTACTGCCTAAGAAAACCTATTAAAAATAAACTATAAAGAGTGCAGAAGAAAAATACTTGCAAAGAAGGGAGTTCTAGGAAAAATCAAATATTTCACCAAAAGTCTTAATGAAGCTCCATGGAATTCAGAAGAAAAAGTCAGTTCATCATAACTTAACCTGAAAGTAGAGGCATTGAGAAGGTCCTCAGTGGGTGAGAGCTTTCCTGTCTTCAGTCTTAGCTATGACAGATTTTAAGACAGGAGGAATGATAATATTGTTTAATATCCCCTGCCGGGTAACAAACGCCATAAAATATTATTGTTACCTTTGTCTCGAGCCTAATAACTAGTGTTTAAAAAAGCTTATCTTTTAGAGAGGCATCTAGATCTGATTTGAAATATATCAAGCTTAGGATTCCTCTCACCTAGATATGTAAAACTACAGCAGTAAAGACTTTTAGAGAAGTCTACTGTAGTCTGTCCTAGTTTAAATGTCTACTCTAGAATAAGATGAATCATGCCCTAAAAATATGTATTTTTCTCAGTGGTTCATAAGGGAAGTCCATGGATCTCGCCTAAGTTTGGATATCTACGCTGTAAATTTCTACACTTCATCAAACGAATCCTCCTACAAATGGCAACGCATGCATAATTTTTCTTGGTGGTGATGTCAGTGATCTGTACAGTTCAAACACGTGCATTATTTCTAAATTGAGTTTGCATAACTTTAATTTCCAGCCAATACTGAGTTCTACAGAGTGATCCCTATTTTCATTAGCTGCCAGTTTTTCACTTACATTGCTTCAAAACTGTGAGGATGTCCACCCTGCCACAGATTCACATTAACAAATGCCCCACATGAATCAGTCCGCCTGAAGCTTAAAGAACCCTGTGGTGTTGATATGGATGGCAAAAAAAGTGCAGTATTTTGATAGTATTTTGACCTTAATTCCTATCCATGGTTCATTCTTCCAAGAACAATGCCCATCCCCTGACTCTTTACCAGCTGGGTTGAATATGGGATGCTGATACAGTTTGCCTTTTTCCTATATAGAAAAATCTACATTAGTATTTGGATGTTTGAAAATAACGTGAAATCAGAGGGCAGTTTTCCTCATGCCCAACTCTCTTTTAAATAACTTTGACAGCTTTCATGAGCTGCTGTGACTAAATCCTGAGTTCATTCTTTAGGATACTCTAGTAGCAATTTTGAAAAAGTTAATTGATTGCTTCACTCCATCCAAAACAAATTTTTCAAAACATAATTCTTAAAAATATGGACTCTTCTGATCTCGGCAGTTAACAACAGAGTACTCCATTTTCTCCCTCCCCTTCACTCACAATGGTTGGATAAGACTTGATTAAACAGGAAGAAATTATTATCAGCTGTTTATATGGTACATTACAGAATCACAGAATAGTTGAGGTTGGAAGGGACATCATCTAGTCCAACCCTCCTGCTCAAGCAGGGTCACCTAGAGCATATTTCCCAGGATTGCGTCCAGGCGGGTTTGAATATCTCCAGGAAAGGAGACTCCATAACCTCTCTGGGAAACCTGTGCCCGTGCTCAGTCACCCTCACAGTGAAGAAGTTTTTTCTCAGGTTCAGATGGAACTTCCTGTGGTTCAGTTTGTACCTGTTGCCTCTTGTGTTGTCACTGGGCACCACGGACAAGAGACTGGTCTCAGCCTCTTGAGGCCCTCCCTTCAGATACTTGTACACATTGATCAGATCTCAGTCTTCTCTTCTCCAGGCTGAACAGGCCCATCTCTTGCAGTCTTTCTTCAGAGGAGAGGTGCTCCAGCTCTCTAATCATCTTTGAAGCCCTCCGCTGGACTCTCTCCAGGAGTGCCATGTC